CGTGTGTTTAGATTGGGAACATGCCTTTAATACAGTCTTTCCATTTCTCTTCCAAACAATACAAATTGATTTGCCCTTCATTCAGGTCAGCCATTAAGCTGCAAACACTGTCACCAAATCTGTAAGGATCGCAGTGCCCCAGAAGATAGTATTTTTCACAAAATTATGTTAACATATTGGAGAACATTATGTGCAGTTAAAATCAAGATTCATGTTGGTTTTTACAAAATTCTATAGTCTTTTTAATTATCATCTCTCCAGTTCTATTACATTTCAAAAAGCAAATCAAGACAAAACCCTATGATGTATCCTCAGACTCTTTCAATATTTTAAAAAACTTTGGTCATCTAGCATTTTGAAGTATATTTACATATATTTACTATGCTAAAGTTCTTAAGTACACCACAGAGACCACTCCTATGTGAAGAGGTTGCAGCTAAAAATTTCTAGCACCAATTGCAGGTTTTCCACAAAGCACAGGTGTTCCTTCACTGTCCTGAAATATTCAGAGTCCCTTGATCTTACCTACAAACTTGCTACTGCTGCTATGCTATAATTTCCCACACACTGCAAAAATGCCAGTAGTATACACGCAAGAGGGTAATATGCTTTGGAAAGGTACCCAGTGGATCCATCACTCTCACTTATTGGTATTTCAACCTCGAAAAAGGACATGAAGTAATGCGGAATAGATTTACCTTCATTTTATAACCTAAGGGTTTGTGTAATAGTTTAATAGCAGGTTGCTTGAGCTTTTTGCTTACTTCTGGAGAGATAGGTAACTACCACTTTTTCCTCCTCAAATAGCTCTACTTTTTTTTACTTGGTTTATCTACTAGTGAAAGTTTACATCTAGGTGGTTAAATCCTCTAGTCTTTGCTCAGGTAAAATTAATGTCAACTTCATTATGGTTATTTAAATGTCCTTAGCAGAAATTCAACATAATATAAATGTATCTGTTCATACATAAATGTTTTTGTTGCATTTCTTCTACATTTAACAATATAATTCTGCTCATAGAAGGTTTCAGTGTGACTACATAAGGAATGATGTACCATTGGCAGAAAATACAGGTAGAATGTAGTTAGAGTTCATCATAAAACCACAAAGTGATTGAATCCTTAGTGTTGGAAGAGACCTTTAAAGGTCATGTAGTCCAACTCCCCTGCAATGAACAAGAACATCCACAGCCTCGCCTTGAAAGTGTCAGGGGATGGGTCATCCACATCTCTGGGTGACCTGTTCCAGTGTCTCACCACTCTAAGAGATTTTCCTTATATCTAAGTTTCTACTTCATTCTACATTATGTTCTCATTATGTTCTACCTCACTTCTACTAGAAGTAGAATCTTACCTCTACTAGCCTATTTAATGGCTGCAGATTGTTCTCTAAGATGTCTGCTGTTGTGTACCAAAGATAATATGAAACACATATTTCCCTCCTAGGTTATACACGAGAATGTTGTGGGCTATTTTTCTGAAAAAAACTGTATAATGTAAATTACCCAGTATAAACCACAAAAACTTACATAAACTAATTTAATATATTCTAAAGCAATTGACTCATTTTAGCTATGGAAAAAGGCATATCTATAGGACAAAAAATCTGCACAAAGGTGTAAATGATTGAACTGTTTCAGAGCTGTAGTTGCACTGAGAGACCTCTGAGATGCTTACAGCCCCTGCTTCCCTCAATGCATAGGCCGACCACTTGCAATCCTTGAAATTCGTATTGTTTCTGTTCTAATACTAAAAAAATCTGTTCACTCATTTGATAGATCTTCTTGACCTTTCTTCTCAGGGGCTAACTAAAATTCTATTTTTACTGAAAATCCTCCAGTATTTGAGATCTTAGATAATCTGTGTTGAAAAGTAAATTAATGTGATTATCTGGAAAGATATTGCTCTTTTCCTAACCCGGTGTAAAGCTACCCTCTAGCAACTTCAAAGAAATTGTGGAAGGAAAAGAGAGCTATATTATACTTTTTTAAAAAAATCTCCTGTGTGTGAAAGTTTAGCAAATTGATGACATTGAATTTCATTCTTACTGTTTTATATGGTTTGAAACTGACTTACATTGGAAAAGAAAAAAAAAAAAAAACAAAAGAAAAAAAAGAAAAAAAAAAAAGAGAAGCAATTGATATAATTAGAAGCTTATGTGCTTCATAATCTCTACCACAGGTAACAAGCTAAAATGTGCTGCTTTGAAGCTCAGAAGAAAACCTGCTTGTAGCTTCCCCTGCTTATCTTTTGGTGTCCATTACACTGTACTTTGAGGGGTGAAAATGATTAACTGTCAGAAATCTTGGTATAAGAAAGAACATAATTATGAGTAAACTTTACCACATATACAAATTTTGAATGGAGAATATGTTTATTTTTCTGACGACAGAGAAAAAAAAGATATTACATAGAAGAGGAAAGATCAGCTGGATTCAGTCGAACCCATAGAATGTCAGCTTGTCAAAACTCTGTGTTTGTTGAAAAAGACAGAATGAGAATAGCAGAAATTGCTGACATTGCCATCCAAGTAACTGAAAGAATAAACAATTTTGTCCATTCTTATCTTATTTTCCTGTGTTCCTTACACTTTGTGTTAGAGCTGCTGCCTTGAGAGCAGTCAATCATAATTTTCCCAGGGCATTTTTATAGACACAACAGCCAAGTACACCGGTAACAGTACTAAAGTTAATTTTGTTTCAGTCAATTTAGGAATGCTGCCACACTAGATTAGACCATTTATCCATTTAATCTGGCAGCATGCTTGTAGCAAAGGGCAGCATCTACTGCAGTAAAGAATAGTCTCATTTTGCAAAAAGCCAAGTGTAAATTACTGTATTTACATGGGAAACAATTCTTCCCTTACCAACTCAATAACTACCCTCTGTCTAAAAGAATGAGATTTTAATATCTTACTCACAAACTTTGTAGTTTTTCATCAAGGAAAGCAAATTCAAGTTCATTATTTGATACAATAATGAAATAATAATAAACAATTTTCATCATTTGAAACTATGAAAGTAAATATTATGTTAATGGCAGATACATTCATTCTAGGTACTCCCATCTCTGAGGCAGATGGATTGGAATCTACCATAGTTTTATTATCCTATAAATAAGAAAAAGTGAACACGTAAAGTCATGCAAGTCAGATTTGAATAGGTTTGTTGGAAAGAATTCCCTAAGATGCATAGAATATATTTTTCTGACTATAGAACCTTCATATTTTACATGTTTGAGATAAAATATCTGATTGTCTAAGGCATAAAAAATAATATCATATAAATCATTAAAAAAAATCTGTAACTTATTTTTTTGTCCAAAAAATACCTTAGAATTTCTCCTAAAACATGTATGACTACCTAAGAATCATTAAATTACAGTAGCTTTCTCAAATTTAGTGTAGATAACGTGTTTTATATAGTGTCAAAAATATTCTTTCAAAATATTTTCCACATTCTAATATAAGTTCAGGTATTTGCATACAAACATTAAAATGTCTGTAGCAGTAGACATGATACAAAATTTTTGAAAAATATCTCAAATGCATTGTGTTTCTCTAACTGTTCTTGTCAACTTTTGAAATTGCAAAGCTTTTGAAAGGATAGATATGGCTTTACCTGACAGGTTCATATCATTATAATGACCCTGAAGAAATGCGTTGAGCTTTTTTCTGCCCTGTTATCAACCCATGCCAAATTTCTCTTTGACTTCTTCTGTTATCTTTCTCCTTATTGAACTACTACCTCATATTTTTTTTACTGCATTTAGGAAGTTAACCTTTACTGCTTCTAATTATTTTGCAGTGAAGTACAGTATTTGAAGTAATGTGGGTAATCACAACACTCATTTATTTTAAAGGATGTTATTAGTGTAACTGACCTTTGAACTCGCATGCTGGATATTTGCGAATTCATTACCAAAGTAATTTGGCTTTTCAAAAAGCTACCAGCAGCATTCAAATATTAAAAAAAAATTACTGTAGTGATCTGACCAGTTTGTTTTAAGATGAAAATTTGTAAGAAAAACTAGGATGGCAGTCACAGCTTAATAAGCAGCATGCTTCTTGCTGTTTTCCTTCCTTTCTGTTCTACTAATACTTTTCAATTCCTTTCTGATAGACAGCTTGCTTCTCATTTCTATGCTTGCCAAGTCAGAATGACACTTTTTCATAAACTGGAGATTTAAACTCCATTATTATTCTGCATTAAGCTGCTGCAGCATGCCAGTCAAGCATTACGATTTTTTTTCAGTCCAGCTGTGCTGAACTAGAAGTAGATATGAAGTAATTGACCTTGATGTTCACTGAATTGTACAACGCTTTGCTACCTACTGTTTTGTGCCACTCACTTCACTTCATGCATCTTCACAAGTCGTGACCTTTATAGTGGATATTACTCTCCAACATAGACAAAAACCACCTTTACAAAAGTAAAACATTAACTATGATCAGCACAGCATTTTGTCAACAGAGAGGCCAAGCAAATCTGCAATACTAAGGTTAGAGATTCCAGATGAGAATCTTCCAACAGAGGCACAGAAAAAAAAGAATTCTTTTATGAAAATAAACACTTGAAAATCTCCAGTGGACTAGTTAATCCTTCCTGTTCTTTCAGAAAGATATGGTGCTTTCTTTTGTAGTTGGTCAAAAATACGCATACTGAATTTACACACACAGTGAAAGATAAAAATAAAAAGCAAAGAACACAGAAAAGAGTAGACTTCCACTGGACAATTCTATAAAATTACCACAGAAATTTAAATTGGCCTTAGAGCATTGCTAATCTCAATAATATATTTAAAAAAAAAATTAATTTTTTATTAAATAAACCCAACAACTTACACATTTATTTTAATCCTACCAAATGGAATAACACCAGAAACTAAAAAAGAAATACTTTTCTATTTATTATTCCTCTTTAATTTCCTGACAGCTGCAATATGACATAAGTTATCAACAGATAATCTTTCTGAAGATACTACATTAATTTAAAAACTTACCTGAGTTGCACACTGTACATCTGTGTGCAGGTGTTCCAGCTCTGTGCAGAGGGCTGCAGGGGCCTGGGAGAAGATGCTTTCACTTCTTATTTCTCATCATTCCTGTCTATTTTAATTGGCAATCGATGAAGTTAATTTTCCACAAGTCAAATCTGTTTTACCTGTTGATGGTAACTGGTGAGTGATCTCCACATATTTATCTCAATCCAGCAGTTTTTCATAGTATTTGCTCCCCTGTCATGCTGTCTTAGAGAGGGTAAAGAAGTTGCTAAGTGAGCATCTGTCACCTGAAGTACATCCCTGTTTGACCAGAGACACTACATTACTTGGACAAATAAGTGAGAACAAGATGCTCGTTATTTAGATAAAACTTCAGTCCACAGTCAGATGTAAAAACACCTCCTTCTCTAAGATAACTGAAAGCATTATAAATAAAAACCCTTCTATTTTTAGGCTGATCTTACTCTTAGTATTTTTCATGTATTTTTCCATTTTTATTGTACTATTTATGCATTCATGGTATAAACTGTGACAAACAACTCTACAGCTCAATCTTTCTTTCACTTTTCATATCCTTTCTAGTTTTTAATGTTCTTTTCTCTAATCCTTATGCATTTGGATAGTCTTTATGACTTAATTTCCTATTACTTTGAGATGATAATCAGTTCACAGTACTGCTTCTGCCTTTTTATTGCCAGTGTGAAGTACAAACAGAATGGCTCCCTGGCACCAGAATGTCACTGAAAATTTCCCAGCGAGGTGGTGGAGTTGCCATCCCTTGTAGAGCTTGAAGTGTCTGTATGAGGAGTTACAAGATATGGTTTAGTAGCTTGTGGTCACAATAGTAATGGGAGGACAGTTGGACTAGACGATCTTGTAGGTCCTTTCCAACTCTGTGATTCTATGATTATATAAATGTTACTGATTTTTTTTCTTTCCTCTTTTTTTTCCTTTTTCCTTTTTTTTTTTTTTTCCCTTTTTCCCCTCCCCTCACCTCCCCTCCGTTCTTCTCTCCTTTCCTTAGAAAAACTAAAGTTATAGACTTTCCCAAAACAACAGGGTTGTGGCATTCCTTCAAATAGGACAAGATTATTGATTACTTATAAGTAGCCAATCAATTAGAACTAGTCTATTTGAGCTATGTAAACAAATGTAGCGAGGGAACCAGTACAAAGTGTATTATGATCATAGAATCATAGAATGGCTTGGGTTGGAAAGGATCATAAAGTTCCACCCCCCTGCTGCAGACAGGGCTGCCAACCTCCATGTCTAATACTAGACCAGGCTACCAGGGCCCCATCCAACCTGGCCTTGAACACCTCCATGGATGGAGCAAGTACAACATCTCTGGACAGCTGTTCCAGCACCAATTAACAAGATTGTTATGGTAATAACAGAGGTAACAAGTATATATTCCTGCTTACTTTAGGTGACTGGACATCCAGCTCTTATTTCTTTGTTTGCTTGTTTGTTTATTTTCAGCTGCTTAGTATAAGCCATATGTTTTAGAAATCTTCCTGACTACTACCAGAAGGAAAGCAAAAACATAACAAAGGATTCTTTCTTAAGGCCCCTCAACAAACAAGCAATATAATTGAAAACAAAAACGAAGCACAAAACAATCAAACAAATAAAAAGAAATATATAAGACCAGCATGGAATATCATTTGTAATTTGGGGTAGAGAGCCTCGAGCATAGATCTACTAGAATGAGGCAAAAGGACCTGGATATAATGTGGTAGGTTATTCTGTCTCCAAAGTCCATCAAATCCTAATACTTACAAGGCAATATTTATTGCACAGAATACCCTGAACTGCCTTGCCTTGGACTACATTTGAAAAGGAGTAAGGCAGATAATTAAACTATTCCTTCTAAAAATCTGTTTCACAGATGTTCTCATGGAAAGACACCGTCCATTTCTCAGTTCACCTAGAGACAACATCTCTTTTTAGAAAGATTCCATAAAATCTAGGACTCTGAAATACTTTTGCAAAAGTGAAGCACATAATTCAATTTATTTATAAGGCTCTAGTCTATAATCCTACGCATGTAAACAGAAGGCTTAGTAGGAATTAATAGTTTTATTAACATAAGAAATCCTTTGCTAATTATTGTTATCATTCTTTTGAAACAGTAATACGTTATTTTTAATCAATCAGCTGAGAAATGTGCTTTCTGAACAAGCAATAATTTTACAAGATGCCTCTATTAATTCATCTGGATTTGTTCCTCATCCCATTATCAAATTCATTCTCTCCTTGAGGCACTCATGTACTCAAACTCACATTCACAAATAGAAGCTATGGCCAAGCAAATTATGGAGACATTCTGAGAAAGATATATGTGATTCCAAAACTGTTTGGCAGCAAATTAATTCACTATTTTATTAGTAAAATCTGTATTTTTAAAATAGCATGAGCACACTAGCACCTGACTAATCAGAAGTATTTAAGAGGTAAAAGATCAATTCAGTTGCAAGAGAAAAGATGTTACAACAAGCAGTCTACTTCCTACTTTATTGTTGTCATAGCAAACCTTTTATACCCAATGAATTAATGGGATAATTGCTACTACCTTCTGAAATTCTGTATGGAACATCTAGAGTGATTAGATATGTTTTGTAAAAAAGATGCAAACCTATGAATATGTACTAATCTGAAAAAAAAGCGTTTTTACATATGAAAGGTCCCTATATTTCTTATGCTAAGAAATATCTTTATCAATTAAAAGAAATTTAGAAGATCATCATCCAGTGGCCTGTTAATAGAATATTTTGTTTCATATAATAGAACAGAAAAGAGTACAATCTGAGAAAACATATATTACCAATTTTTTTCAATTATACAAGTGTCCCAGCATAAACTCAATCTTAACTTTGCTTTGGCAAGTTAGAACATGTTGTTCATTTTCAGGATATGAAGGAATGTGGTCTCAAAACCAAAGCAGGGAGACTAGAAAAGGGAGATGATGAGGATTCTGATTAATCACCATATCCTCATGCTGTTATCTTTTTTCTTAATTTAATGGAAGTAGAATTGCTTACCTCAAAGAATGTGTCATGAGCCTTACTTAATAAATGTTAATAAAATGTTTAGAGACTCAGAAAAGTTCTATTCAAATGCCAAATGTTATAATAAATAGTATTTTTCATTTTTATGTGGAGCATTGTATTCAAAAACGAATTTCTTTACAGTACACTGGCATATCTAATTTCTAGACTAATAGTATTCTATATGGAATTCATCAGTGTTCCACAGAACAAAACAAGACATTATTCTTTTTCCATCAAAGTATTTCAATATTTTTACAATAATTTTGACAAGGCACAGAGGGTTAGAAAGATAACATACTTGACCATCTCCCTTTTATCATTTACCACATGGCAGATTTATCTACTCTGAATAAACAAAACTGACATTCACAAAGAATACAGAGATGAAAATAAATGAGCTTGAAGTAAGCTGCTGCACAGAATAATAATATGCCTTCCAAAGGATCCTAATCTTTAAAATCAGAGTATTAATTAAATAAAGAAGCTGCATCTTAACAGAGCTGCGCTCATTTAAAATGAAAACACTAAAACAACCTACTAATAATAGTCAAAAAGATGTCTGTCATGTCTAAACGTGTGAAGTACACGGCATCACGTGCTTCATAATATATTTTCCCCGTGGTCCATACTAGGTCTGGTCTTATTCAACATCTTCATCAATTACCTGGATACAAGGATAGAATGCATCCTCTGCAAAGCTGGGGTGCAAAGATCAAAGGAGTGACTGACATACCAGAGGGCAGTGATGCCAGTCAGTGAGACCTGGGCTGGCCGTAGAGTTGGGTGGAAGGAAACATCATGAGGTTACTAGGTATGAGTATTTACAGACCACATGAAGTAAGCTTAAAAAATAAAGTTGTCTTGAGGTAGGAAAAACACCGTAATTACAACTGATCTTGCTGTTTCTCAGAACGTATCAATGTACTTGCCAAGAATGCTTCCTGAAGTCACCGAAGCAGCTGCAACAGAATGAGACTCCTTCAGGGCAACACAAGCAAGTAGGAGTCACACAAACGTATGAGTAAATCAAGCAGATTCTCAGAGATGGGATAACTGTGGATGCACTTAGGCAACAGCTTAGGGGATAAAGAAAGGCCAGTAAGGGGTACTTTGTAGGATTATCATGCTATCCAACTAAAACCCTTTGTTTTCTTAAAAAACTTTAATTTGCCATGACAAGTTTTGACATATAAAGATGAGTTAATGGCAACAGGAAGTGTCTTTTTTCTTCTGCAAAAGTTGTTTCACCAGCTTGAGACAAGACCCAGGTGATATTAATTAATAAGGAGTAAGGTAGTTCCTTTTCTTCAATTTAAAATAGTCTCTTTCACAGTTCTGCAATCAAACAATGAAGATCACAGCTGTTTCCTAAAGGAAAAAATGTAAAAGACAGAGCAGAAGTAACTGTTGAATTATTCCTGAAAAGCAGTTAATAGGGGCTGCTTGGAGAGAAGCAGGAATGCAGAGCACTGAAACAGAAGTTGAAGGCCTACTTCTACGTAAGAAATATTTCTTCTGTAAATCACCCTGTTACTCACAGATGCAATGAAACCTTTCTCATATTCTCTACACTTCCAGAGTTTGAAATATTGCCTCAGAATTTTCTGAACAAGTTTAAAGTAGAGAATGTTCTCTTCCCAGAACAAATACGTCATCCTATGTTAGTAAATATTGTCTAGTGTTTTTAACCTCCTGTGTGATTCAGTGTGCTATGGATCATGCCTTCAGTCAGCCTGGACAATACCTCTATTGAATTTGCCTGCAGAATACCCACAGAATACCTTGGAAGGCAAAGTTTGTAAGAAGAAGGAATGTTTCTCATGAATATATGTGATTTCTTTTTTTTTTCCTGTGCAACAGATAAGTTTCAAGTGCTCAACCCTCCCTCTATTTGTATCCCTACAGTCCTATAATAAAGTATTGCTACTGTTACTAAAACGTAAGAAGCTTTGTGCAGAATTTGAGGCCTAAGGACTGAGGTTCAAAAAGCTTGTTTTGTTGGAACTTTTATTGTACTGCCTGACCATTAGGCAATCTTTTAGGCATGAAGTTGACAGGTGCTGCACATGGGACAGACTAATGCCAGAAACAGATACAGAGCTGGAGAA